GTATGTATGTTGCAAATTATCTAGTCCCACTTACAAATGGGCTCTCCCACACTTGTTCACTTATGGACACCTTTTTCATGTGAAGGAGATGACATGTAAATAGACTAATTCCAGTTATAAATAAATGTATGTATGTTGCAAATTGTCTAGTTCCACTTGCAAATAGACTCTTCCACATTTGTTCACTCACAAACACTTTCTTCATGTGATAAAGGACTAATTCCAGTTGTAAATATATATATGTATATTACAAATTTTCTAGTTCCACTTGCAAATGGGCTCTCCCACTTTTATTATGAGGGGTAGTAGTGTCATTTTTTTGTGAAATTAATATCAATTTGTCCCTTTGGTCTTATAGTGAAGTTTCAAAAAGTTTTGGGAAGCTCTTTAAAATTAATTCTGTGTTGTGGTTCTTAAACAAAATTTTCCCTATATTTTATTGGGGGGTGAGCAATTTGGATATTTATTTATTTTATCCAATAAGTGAGGAGACGACAACTATCTTATCTTAAATATAATGGGAGTGCTGAAATCACGAAATAATGTAATCATCCAATCACCTAACAAGAGTTAAACTGGTGGGGTTTGAATTCATCGGTAGGCGGTGGCGAAAAAGGAATTCATTGGTAGGTAAACAATAATAGTATTTGAACCATAAAAAAAAAAAGTCTTTATAGTTTTATACAATGACATGAAAAACGTTTGGTCATTGAATATGCTGTGGCAGTAATTCAAGAGTTAACGACACAATCATGGTTAAATTAAAGTTAACTTGTCATAATTAAAATATATAAAAATATTCATATATTTTTAACTAAAACATGCATTCATTTACAAATAAATAAAACATTTATACATAAACCATGCTTAATCTAATAGAAGAGTTATTGAAGCATAAATGCAAGGAAATACTACTTAAAAAACTAAAAAAAATGTAATATCAAGTTCAACAAAAGAAGGAAAGAAAATGCAAAATCTAACATCAAAACTCTTAACCGAAACAACCAAAGACTTGGTTTATTGGTTTACCAATCTGGTTGGTCAATCCCTTCCAAGTTTTAATCCCATGATTCTTATAGTTTCGAATCATGATTTTTTTTACCTGTAAAATCTCTTTCATCCAGAATGTTAGTCTCTGTAGTTTCATAACAACTCAGATATGAGTTAGAAACTAAAACCAAAATTTATTAAAAATATATGGATCAAAATCAAAATTCATATGAACTAAAACTAAAACTCATTAAAAGTAAAGATTAAAAAAAAATCTTTACGAAAATTGTTTTGGGGGTGGGGGTCTCCATTTGGCAATCTTTTTTTTTTTAAGAAAAACTTGCTACAATTATTCTCAATGGATGCAATTCCTCTTTTGCTGCATGGAACATATCCTCAATTATATGTAAAAGTGTTTAACATTGAAGCCATTTGAACATGTTTAAAGATATGTTACACATAAATTGAAGAGTTGCACCCATTGAAAATGATTATACCCTCTCAAATTGATGAAATCAGATTTGACAGCAAGAAAGATAACGAATTCAAATATTGGAAATCAGATTTTATTGTTAAAAATTGATTTTTGCCGCTCAATCAAAGTCTACTTTTTTGTCCTCCCTCACACATTTAACTTTCGTTTTGTTTTAATCTATACTTTTTTTTTATAATTTTGATCCTTTTATTTTAACGAGGATTTAAATGTTGCAAACTGTAGCATTTAATACATATAAAATTTTAAATATTTCTACTTAATTGAAAAACTAGCAATTAAAAGCATTACAGAATATTTTTCATATATTTCCTCATTATGCTCCTCATCTTCTACCATCATGATTATGTTTTTTCCCCATATGCTAACGTCTTTTGTTAAATATATTTACAGCCTTAAAAATCTTAAATAACATTTGACAAAAAATAATTATTAATTAATATATAAAATTACTTTGACTTGGAATTTTAAGGATAACTTATACAAATTATTAAAAAAAAAGCATTACAGAATATTTTCAAACATCCAGCTTTAAAATAAGAAACAAACTCCTTTCCGGTGAATTAAAAAACTTCTAATACGTTGAATTTATTTATCCTTTTTTAAAATTTTCTTCATTAAAAACGGCATGTTTGGCACCATTTAGCAAATGCCACCAATGGCTGTGTTTACATGAATGTTGTGATTAAAAGCGTTTCCTAAAACCAGCAAGTGTTAATTCAACTAGAAGGGATTTTAACATCATGAGCATCTGAGAGATTATTTTCTTACAATTCGAGTAAAAATACTCTAAGCCACTATGGTAGTGTTTGCGGTAAAGTTAGAATGTTCTAAGATTGTCCATACTTTTCTTTTCATGTGAAATAAATTTAAACGAATCATTTATTAAAAGCTTTTAAGTCAATCTATTTAATTAGCATTTCGCATTTTGTTTAAACTCCCTCTAATCCTAAATGTAAGGATAAATAATTTGCATAAATTAAGAAAATCAAATCAGCTATCTACAAAAAACGTTTATTGATTTTTCAAAAATATTCTTTTTTAATCATTTGCATTAAAAACTACTACCTTGATACGGAAAAAAAAAAACCCATTATCACATGCAATCAACGGAGAGTATGGGGGGAAAATTATAAATTTAGAAGATAAGTGAGTTGAAATTTTATATTCAAAATAAAAGCAAACCATTCTACCAACCCCTTCATTTAGGGCAGAAATAAGCATCATGTACCGTTTTAATTACAATTACTAATAAAGGGAATTGTGAGAAGATGTTTTTCATAGACAAGATTCACATTTAACTTAATCGCCAGGCCAATACTTGTCAAAAATAAAGAAGCATAAAAGCATGAAGTTGAAGGAAACCAAATAAAGCACTGTCCAAATTATTACAGTCCTGATCCAGACAATCCTGTCTCATGCAATAACATCTTTATTACATAAGTTCAAACTGGGGCTGTTAAGATACTCCAACGATCATCATCAACTCACTGATCTTAAACCACAACAATGGCCGTTTTCTTCATCATAACAATGGCATACAGAGATAGGATGAAATTAATGCACTAATCTCTTAGACCCATCATACAGATGATAGGACAGGGAAAAGGCAGCAATCTGGGCACAGATTAGGCTAAAGTTTGAAGAAAACTGGAAAAATTGGCAGAAATCAGCATAGGTGAAGCAAATCAAAGGCATTTTCAAACCATGGCTGCTAAGGAAACTCCAGAGATTCTATTGAAAATTGAAGACATAGAAGAGGACTGCGGCATATAAATAGAAAGATGAGGAGACAATGGGCGAAGTCTATTTTTCACCAGAGCCATGGCCATTGAGGCGGCGGCAGCATCTTTCTCTCCAGATGCTGCCTCAGTAGCAGTTGACAAGGCTCGCTTGGCTTCACAGCCTTTATGACCTGCTTTGATGGCATCGTCAGCAAACATACTAAAACCAAAATTTATTAAAAATATATGGATCAAAATCAAAATTCATATGAACTAAAACTAAAACTCATTAAAAGTAAAGATTAAAAAAAATCTTTACGAAAATTGTTTTGGGGGGCGGGGGTCTCCATTTGGCATTCATTTTTGTTTTCAAAGAAAAACTTGCTACAATTATTCTCAATGGATGCAATTCTTCTTTTACTGTATGGAACATATCCTCAATTATGTATAAAAGTGTTTAACATTGAAGTCATCTGAACATGTTTAAAGATATGTTACACATAAATTGAAGAGTTGCACCCATTGAAAATGATTATACCCTCTCAAATTGATGAAATCAGATTTGACAGTAAGAAAGATAATGAATTCAAATATTGGAAATCAGATTTTATTGTTAAAAATTGATTTTTGCCACTCAATCGAAATCAATTTTTTGGTCCTCCCTCACACATCCAACTTGCGTTTTTTTTTTCAATTTATACTTTTTTTTATAATTTTGATTCTTTTATTTTAACGAGGATTTAAATGCTGAAAACTGTAGCCTTTAATACATATAAAATTTTAAATATTTCTCCTTAATTGAAAAACTAGCAATTAAAAGCATTACAGAATATTTTTCATATATTTCCTCATTATGCTTCTCATCTCCTGCCATCATGATTATGTTTTTTCGCCATATGCTAACGTCTTTTGTTAACTATATTTACAGCCTTAAAAATTTTAAATAACATTTGACAAAAAAAAATTATTAATATAGAAAATTACTCTGACTTAGAAATTTAAGGATAACTTGTACAAATTGTTAAAAAGAAAACTGCATTGCAGAATATTTTCAAACATCTAGCTTTAAAATGAGAAACAAACTCCTTTCTGGTGAATAAAAACACTTCTAATACGTTGAATTTATTTATCCTTTTTTTTAATTTTCTTCATTAAAAAGGCCATGTTTGGCACCATTTACCAAATCCCACCAATAGCTGTGTTTACATGAATGTTGTGATTAAAGGTATTTCCTAAAACGAGCAAGTGTTGATCCAAGTAAAAAAAAACTTCAGCGTCACAAGCATTCGAGAGATTAGTTTCTCACCATTCAGGTGGAGATACCCTGAGCCACTATGATGGTGTTTGCAATACAGTTAAAATGTTCCAAGATTGTCCATACTTTTATTCTCATGTGAAATAAATTTAAACGAATCATTTCTTAAAATTTTTTAATTTGATCTATTTAATTAGCATTTCACATTTTGTTTAAACTCCCTCCAATCCTAAATGTAAGGATAAATAATTTGCATAAATTAAGAAAATTAGTCTGTAAAAAATTTAATTGATTTTTCTAAAATATTCTGTTTTTAATCATTTGCATTAAAAACTACTACCCTGATAAAAAGCCCATTATTATATGCAGTCAATGGAGAGTATAGGGGGAAAAATTATAAATTTAGAAGATAAGTGAGTTGAAATTTTATATTCAAAATAAAAACAAACCATTCTACTAACCCCTTCATTTAGGGCAGAAAGAAGCATCATGTACCGTATTAATTACAATTACCAATAAAGGGAATTTTGAGAAGATGTTTTTCATACACAAGATTCACATTTAACTTAACGCCAGGCCAATGCTTGTCAAAAATAAAGAAGCATAAAAGCATAGAGTTGAAGGAAACCAAATAAAACACTGTCCAAATTATTACAGTCATGATACAGACAATACTGTCTCACGGAATGACATCTTTATTACATAAGTTCAAACTGGGGCTGTCAAGATGCTCCAACGATCATCATCAACTCACCGAACTTAAACCACAACAATGGCCGTTTTCTTCATCATAACAATGGCATACAGAGATAGGATGAAATTAATGCACTAATCTCTTAGACCCATCATACAGATGATAGGACAGGGCAAAGGCAGCAATCTGGGCACAGATTAGGCTAAAGTTTGAAGAAAACTGGAAAAATTGGTAAAAATCAGCATAGGTGAAGCAAATCAAAGGCATTTTCAAACAAAGAAGATAAAAGCCCAAGACCATGGCTGCTAAGGAAACTCCAGAGATTCTATTAAAAATTGAAGACATGGAAGAGGACTGTGGCTTATAAATAGAAAGATGAGGAGATAATGGGCGAAGTCTATTTTTCACCGGAGCCATGGCCATTGAGGCGGCGGCGGCAGCATCTTTCTCTCCAGATGCTGCCTCAGTGGCAGTTGCCAAGGCTCGCTTGGTTTCATAGCCTTTAAGACCTGCTTTGATGGCATCCTCAGCCAACGTACTGCAGTGAGGCTTAAATGGACGAAATAATAGATGCCTTGCAATTTCTCTGCAGGATATCCGTCATCTATTGTTCAAGTCATCTCATCTCATCTCTGGGGGGAGAGGGGAAAAAAAAAAAAAGGAGCATAACCATCACCCAAAAGGTCCAAAACTGACGAGCAGCTGTTAGTTTTGCACAAAATATTATTAATACTAATTAAGCAGGTTTATCAAACAAAAAAAATTAATAGGCAGGAGGTAGAGCAGTCAGCATCCATGAAGATATGAAAACCAGAAGATATATCGTACACTACATTAACACACTACCAACTTCAAACATACACTGACCACAGCATTTTATTTTGTCTGTGAGCAGTCATGTCTTCCCCAGTTAACCATTCATACAGATTAAAAATCATCTTTCACAGTACACCCATCTCTACTTCAACAACTGTCCTTTTCCTTCCAGTTTTTCAGAAGAGTGCTTCATCACTTTCTGGGGTAAATTGTAAATAGGTAAACCCGAGTAAGGCATTATTGTATTCACATCTTACTCCTAGGCTGTAGGGACACTATTTCCTTTGGCCTATAAATAAATGCCCTCATCCATGTCAATGTATCAGAGTAATTTAATTCATAAGAGAGTACAACCATCCAATTCTCTCACTAACACAAGTTACTCACTTAAACTCTAGAAGCAGCTCATAGTGCAGACTCTAGCTAGTCAGAGTAATGCCATAGCCTCTCCACTGGGAAGCAAGTAATTCCTCTACACCCAGCCATGGACAAGAAGCTCAGTGGCAGACTAGCACAATCCCTCTTTCTTTTGGAGAGGAAAAGGGGGGAAAAAAGAGAGAAAGCAAGCAAGCAATAATATAGATGCAGAAGTTAAGAATAAATTGCATGTCATCAACTCAGAAAGGGAACCCCCCCGGGGGAGCCGGGGGGGGGGGGGGAGAAAATATTTACATCAATTGTAATTCCACTTTTCAGAAGTTAAACTGATGTAAATATGGCCTCCCTTTTCTAAGCTAAGATAATTCTCTAAAAACTATGGGCTACAGCTCATTTGTTTTCTTTCTCAGAGGGATTGTGTATATATCCCAGAAAAGGGAGTTAAAAAACAAACCCACACGCCAGCACGGGCACAGAGATTGTGCTCAGCAACTGTATACTTTCATCTTCAATAAAATGTGTTTACCTCTTCTTCAATTCAAGCAAGGGTTCCAGAACAAATAAAAGTTAACATGTTTGGGTATAAAACATAATGCATTTCCTGCTGGCCCAGTTTAGATAACACAGGTTGGCACTGTTTTAATAGCTGTGACAAGCAGAATATCATTGTTCCCTAAAGGTGGGGAAGTAAATTAAGACAAGGTCATAACCAGCAAGTAAATCATATAAATAAAATATATATCTTTCAAATGAGGAGGAACACCCTCACTTGTATCAAAGCTACAAGAGAAATTTAAGTCACTCAGGAAATTGACATACATTTGTATCATATGCTCCTTAGAGTTAAGGATACTTACATAGTCTTGATGGATGAAACTCCCTTCATTTGGTTTCCTTTTACCCATCCAGTAGCTGAAAAGTGAGAAATAAAAAGGTTAATTAACATATTTAATGAGGATAAGGTACCCTTGAGCAAACTATTACACTGAAAAAAGTGCATAATACAAATTTAACAGCTATTGAATTTTCATTTAACACAATTCAGGACATCATCCCTGCACATTACTCCTCCATATGCTAAATCCTATTGCCTAAGTCAGCGTCAATCCATGGAATGCCAGTGATGCTATCGATCTGTAGTAATCAGATATACAGGAGCAACTACAACCTTACACAGCCAAGAATTCATCAAAACCGATTGATAATCATATTCAGATATCCACATTAGTACAGTATTATCTATTTCGTAGTGTTCTATAAGTCAGTCATTTGAGAAAATTCATCACAGAAAGAACCTTAGTCCATCAATCCAATCATATTCAGAGAATTCAAACCATCTTGTTCTTCTTCCATACTCGGAAATAGCATGTTGAAAACAATGCTTTCCATTAAGATAAAATGGAAATTGAGAAACTCTAAAAAGATAAAAGCTTTTTAGAATAGTAATTTGTTCAGATTGAAACATCCCTATACACAAATGGAAGGGGGGGATTTGGCTGCAAAACACCCAAAGCACAGATTCATCCCAATTTGTCTTTATCACCAAAAAGGGAAAAAAAAAAAACCAAAACTAAAATAAAGGAGGGGAAAGGGACAAAAGGGCAATCACAGGACCACATACCCATAGATGAAGAGGCAACACCCAAACCAAAGCTGAAGGTCTTGGAGCGAGCATCGACAATCCTTCTGGTCCTTTCATCATCCTTAATATGGATTTTCATGTCATCTCCACAAGCTGGTGCCTCAACCAAGCCCATACCAACCATGGGATCATAATTGGCTCTGACATTCCTGGGGCTGTTGCAGTGATCAACAACCTTTTCAAGGGAGAATTGACGCAGAACCTGAAGTGTTGGTGATGGCACCTCCCGTGACACTCCCAAAATTCTCTTTGAAGCTAACCTCAACATTCTTTGCTAGATTCTAGATCCTATTCCTCTCCAAGGTTTCCTCCCCTTCAATTTGCAATTATATATGGTTCCTCAATTAATATATTTTTTTTTCAAATTTATTATGAAGAATATTATCATTATGCACCATTCCGATAACTCAATCACATAAACTGCAGTCTAATCATAGTTATCACCAATTAAAAACCAGTGTCAGAACCACAGGAGGAGTATGCAGTAACAACCATTATGATTATTCAGTCATATAAACAATAGCCGATAAAACACTTTCTAACTATGGTTGTCACCAATTAAAAACCAGCACCAAAAACATAGGAGGAATCAGCAGTAACAAAAGACAATGTTGTCATGTAAACCAAAAAAAAAAAGGACAATGTCGTCCAGAAAGTGACCAACGAGGGCACAAGTGAAATTGTGAGACTATGAGGCATGACATTTTAACCGAGATCCCATTCTAAGCAGTTTGAGGCTTCCATTCTAAATCTCTCGGATAAAACGCACGCAGAATTTTTTTCTCAATCGCAGAAAAGCAGATTAGATAAAAACATTAACAGCTGCTTCACCCCGAGAAGTGAAAAAGAAGGAGCTGGCTTTCGAATAGAAGAAAATAGCTGATTATGAGTAGTTTTAATACAGATCCTTTGAATAGCCATGAAAGCTACACAAGTTATTGATGAAGGAGGAATCTATTCAAATATGCTCACTGAACTAAACCAGATGAGGAATAGAAGGGATGACAAAAAATTATCGGAGCCTAAGAGATAAAAGTGGTGACCAGCGGGCAAGACAAGGGTGAAAGGAAAGCGACGAAGAGTACCTGACCAAAGACGATGAAGACAAAGCCAAGAGTGGCTGAGAGCACCGAGCACCTTGAGAAGTGAGGGAGGCGGGAAATCCGCCAATGCGCAGCGAGTAGGACCGGAATTCCATACAGGGCGGGCCATTTTTCCATGATTTTTGCCCACTTGGGCATTATTCCCATTGTTTTTATGGTGTTAGGCTTAGCAAATGAGTGGAAAACGGGTAAAAGAATTTAGGAGAAATTAATTTTTTCATTATTTAATTTTTAACTTATTTATAACTCAATCACTTAACTATGACTTTTAGGCTTAACTAGAAATTTCTTCTACATAAGATGCACGAATTAACATATTTTATTAGATTTAAAATTCTAATAAATTGTATTATTTAAGGTGGCTCAAGATTTACTTCTTATATGATTATTTTTTTATTTATTCAAATGGGATTTAAATTAGAGATATGATATTTAGATAAAATAGATGAAAATTTTAAATTATTTATTTATTTTTGAGCCTCCGATTAACATATCATTTAATTATGATGCTTCTTATTTAATTCAATGTATTCAAATCACAATTAAGACATTATTCAAATTTAAAATTGAAAAATAATTTTTTTATTTGAGCCTCCAATTGAAATCTCATTTAATTCAACATATTCAAATCCCAATTAAGATGTTACTCAAATCTCATTAATTGAATATATTTGGATCCCATAATATCACACACTGTAAACGAATCGGGTATTACTAGTTTTCAAGAATATAGTTGATTTGATAATTACAATTTAGACTTAAACCTCCAAGGAATTTTCTTTATTCAAGTTTGCATTTCAATATTTTTATATTTTAAGGGTCTTTTAATGCAATTTTCCCTTGATATTGTGGTTGGAGAGGCAACCAAAGAAAATATGAACAATGGTGTATTTTCGATCTAAAGTTTGGAAAAAATCTCAAAAAAGATAAATGCAAAATAGCAACACTCTTTTAGTTTGAGCCAAATTAAGCAAAAGTTTAATAGGCTGTGAGGAAGCACAGAGAATTTTCTCAACTGTTACAACACATTGGATTTGGTTGGGATGCTAAAACAAACATAGTTACTGCTAATGAGGAGGTTTAGAAGAACTATATTGTAGTAGGTAACTATATTTGGTGAGTGTGTACAGTTTATTGAGCTAAATGTCTTCATTTTAATTGAAATTGAAATGCTTATTTTGTAGGTATATCTCGAGGCTGCATAATTTAAGAAGCATGGGATAGAACATTATAAATTGTTGGTCATAACTTTTAACAAAAGCACTGCAATAGGTATGCTTCATTACATTTATACAAGACCACCAAATTTTGATGATGTGGTTCAACTTGAGAGTGAGTATCTTTACTCTAGAGTTGATATAAACCTTAATAAGGATAAAGATGGTATTGTACTAGACATAGTTGAGCATGTTGCACACAGTGAAAAAATAAAGTATTGAATTCTCCAATCAAAAGAAGAAGAAATAACCTAGATCTATGCAAATAGGAGAAGCAATTCAAGTATGGACCAAGGCATCTAAAGCTAGGACTAAAGCTCAACTTGCTAAGGCTAAGAGGTGGAGGTCAAGGAGTAAAGCTAGTGTTGGGACTGCATCTTCTATCAGTTGTTCTAGTACTGATTGTGTTGCTATTCTCAATAAGATGGATCTTCCTAATGATATTTATGTCAAGGCAAAAAGACAATTTACCCTCGTCATTAATAAGGAGTTATTTATGGCTATGCCTATGGAAAGAAAGAAGACATGGTTGGAAAGCCTACAAAGATATACTTAGACTTATAGCTTTTATATTAGGTGGTGAACTATATTTAGTGGTAATTTTATGTTAATATGAACTATTTTAGGAATATTTTTTATGCTAGCTTATAACTGTGTGACAAATGTATTTGACATTAATTTATGCCTTTTGTTTCATTATAATGCAATAGTAGTTTTTGTAATTTTTAATCATATGCCTTGTTCGAATTTTGTATTTTATAATTGGTTGATATTATATGCACAATGATTATAGATCAGTTTTATATACAATGGATGTATATGCTTTTTCTTAATTATAATAACACATATTATTTTGTTAATAACAAATTATTTTTGTGTTATTTATTTACCATTCTATTTGATTTTTTTATTAAATTATTTTTTGTCTATTTTATTAAATTAATTTGCATTATAATATGATATCAAGTAATTAATTTTACACTTTTAAGTTGATTTTGAAAATAATTTTTAAAACAAATCATCCAAACAAATTCTTATATTTTATTGTTTTTGAAAATAATTTTTAAAAACAATCATCTAAACATGTTCTTTTTCCCTCAAAATTTGTATTAAAAAGTGGTTTTATAAAATTGTTTTGGAAACCAAAAAACAAAAAAATAACCAAACGGACCCTTCATTACTTGGCTAATTCTCCATAATAGAATATAATAAATCAAAAATTTCCTAAATTTGGTAGTGTGTAAAGAAACCTTCAAATTGGGTTATGTATGCACGAAATCAATCTATATGGTAATCTTAGTAGCATACATAGTGCTTGGCCTATTCTCCTTGTGATTTAAAATTTACCTCCTTAGTTGTGTGTGAGTGAAAGTATATCATATTGTTTTTTATTATCTTGGGGCCAAAATAGCTTGTAAACAATATTGATGTGTACTTAGAGCCTTTAATTGGGCACTTGAAGAAACTATGGAATAAATGTGCTGATGGGTTTGATGCATACAAAACAAGACACCTTTAAACTACGTGCCATAGTCTTCGTCATGGTAAATAACTTTCCGGCATATGAAAACTTGTCAAGATACAATGTTAAAGGGCAGAAAGTGTGTCTTATATGTGAAGAAAGCACTCTCTACATGCAACTCAAGCATTGGAGGAAAAGGATCTATCTTAGTCATAGGAGGTTTTTTTAGTTTACATCACCCTTATCGTAAGTTGAAGAAGGCATTTAATAGCTCATAGGAATATCAAATGGTTTCAATACCATTAACAAGAGAAAAAATTTATCAACTGATAGAAGAAATTAATGTCATCTTTGATTAAAAAAATTACTAGTGAGAGAAATAAGTAAAAGAAAAGGTCTATCCATATTAGCAGAGTGTTGAAGTGAAACACAGTCTAGATGTCATGTATGTAAAAAAAAAAGTGTGTTAGAGCTTTGTTGGTATGCTTTTATACATAAGTAGACAGACTAAGGATGAAATCAATGTGAGATGAGATTTGATTAAAATTGGAATAAGAAGACTACTACACCCACAAGAAAGAAAGGGTAAGATGGCTTATTTGCACATCACAGCGCACAAATTGTCAAAAGAAAAAACAAGTTTTTGTGGGTGTTTAAATGGTATGAAGGTGCCATAAGGGTATTCTAATTTGTTAAAGTTTGTTTCAATGCAAGATTTGAAGATAATGGAGATGAAGTCCCACAATTGTTACGTATTGATGCAACAACTACTAGCAGTGGCTATTTGAGGCATAATAAAAAATGATGTAAGGAGCACTATTACCAAAATTTTAATATTCTTCAATTCTATTTGAAACCACTAATTGATCCCATATTTTTTGACATTATAATACATTTGGTAGCTCACCTTGTACGGAAGATAAGACTTTATGGCCCTATGTTTAATATGAATGTACCTATTTGAGATCTACGTATAAAATCTTAAAAAGGTACTCTAAAAATCTTTATCAATCCAGGGCATCAATTATTAAGAGATACTTAGTTCAGGAGGCTGTAAGTTTTGTAATGCATATCTTGAGGGTAAAGGTAGTTGGACTTCCTCAATCTTAGTATGATCAAGGGAGAAGTAAGGGAACTTGGGGTGTCAAAGTGAAGTATATGCCTTGGGAAGTGGTAATTCAAGAACATCCATATATTTTGAACAATATGGTTAAAGTTCTGTCTTATTTAGATGCTCACAAGAATATACTAAGGAACATGAACCCACCTAAGAAAGAACAATATGCCACTAGCTAATGAGCACAACAAGTTCTTCATAGAGTGGTTCAAACAAGAAGCATTGAATGATAATAATCCTTCTAAAATAATACAAAGGCTAACTTTAAAGCCTCATTTTGAGATTATGTGTTTGAGAAAATAAGATATAAATGATTATTCTTTTTTACATAAAAGTCTAATATGATAAAAAGTACTTTGTAGAATAGTAAATTGATGGTTGTAGTCAAAGTGATGTATTTTGCTAGTTCAAGAGATAAAAATCTAACATTGGAGTCAATGTCCTATTATGGAGTGATTAAAGAGATAAGGGATATTAGTTACACCAAGTTTAAAGTTCTTGTCTTTAAATGTAAGTGGCTTAATAGTAATGCTATGCAAGTAGATAAAGAATTTGGATTTGCCTTAGTAAATCTTAAGAGAATTAGATATAAAGATAAGCCATTCATTTTAGCAAGTCAAGTTAAATAATTGTTTTTAAATACCCAATCTAGCCAAAAAAAAAATTGTCCATTATGTTTCAAGGTAAAAGGTAAATAATTGGTAGAGATGAGAGTGACTTAGGGTTTAACATCAACGAAACCTCGTCTTTCACAGCTAATCAACCTAAAACGACTAAATTTTATTTGATAGATGAAAAATATGCTATTAGGAATTATTTTGAAGGAATTTGGGAGGATAATTATTAGCAAGACCTAAACCAATAGTTCAATTAGTTTATTATGTTTATTGAATATTTCTCCGTTATCGATTATTTCTAAACTGTGAATTTGTTCCATGATTATTATTTCTAATCCTTGCATTATTTATTCCATGATTGTTGTTTCTGATTCTTACCTTTGTTAATTGATTTGTGAATAGGATAGGAACATTTTAGGTTAGTAAGATTCTAGTTATCAGGGTTCTGATAACAACATCCACACCTCTACTAGTAAGAAAAGAGGTAAAGACCCAACATGTTGGAGAGAGTTGGCTTTGTGTGATGAGGCTACACAGTCCCAA